GGAAAAAACAACAAACCCCAAACCAATCTCACCGGAAAACAAAACCGGGGTCGCGGTCGATATTCACCGCGTCTTCCTCCCAGGTCTGGCAGTTGAGCTGGAGCCAACCGTGACCGTTCCCTTCCTCCCAACGCCGGAGCGTCGGCGCAGCCGGCTCCAAGCCAACGGGCAAGCCCCACCCCGGCACGGGGCCTCGCTTCCCCTTTCCCGGAGAGGGGGAAAGCTCCTTTTTTTTTTTTTCCCTTTCCTCCCCCCCCTTTCCCAAAACACGGAATGACGGCGTTCGCTTCTCACTGGGATGAAGAGCCGGATGGCTTCATTTTTCCCACGGCAACCAGGAACGCCGTCGTGCCTCGATTTCCCTGCTCCCGCCACGGATTTCTCAATTGGGGGCGGGAAAAAAAAGAAAAATCCCTGGGGAAATAAAGCTGGAAAAATTCCTGTCGGTTCAAAGGGTGTGGGGGGGGATTCCCTATGGAATTCCTTAGCTCCCCCCGCAAGAAAATATAAAACCTTGGCCTCGTAGTGCCAGAGCCTCCGCTCGTTTAAATCCCAAATTAGCCTCGTCCTCAAGGATCATCTAATTAAGAAGCAAACGAGACGCCGGCTGCTTCGGTCCTGACATGTTTGAACCGAACGCTTCTCCCCCCCCCATCAATGCAACATCCAGGTCTTGTGTTTTAACTAAACCTGGCGTTTTTATGAGGGAAACTGAGGCTGGATGAGCAGCATCAAAACCAAAAATGGGGAGAAAATGGGGTTTTGGTCCCTTCCTCCTGCAGGAGATGGAAAAAAAAAAGCAAAGCTGGAAACTGAAAAAAAAAAAGCAGGAAAAAAGGTTTTACACACAGTGAGAAAAAACGACGTTTTATTTGGGGTGAAAAGCGATAAATCAGCAAAAGATCAGAGGAAACAAGGCTGAGATGCGATGGGTGAAGACCGCAACACCGCCCAGCCGCTTTGTGCGGATATTTGGGGAGAAAACAGATTTTCTGGCAAACCCTGGCCGGCCGGAGTTACACACGCACACACGCTCACAAGCAAACCTCCCGCCCCGGACCCCGTTTTCCCTTGTTTTTCCCCTAAATATGCCCTAACGCCCACGCAGGATTTAAAGGGCGAGAGAAGATAAACACGCCGCTTCTAGAGGGAGTCTGTAATAAGGCCAGGCAGGTAATTAAGCGGAAAATTAACGAAGGGAGACGCGCGCCGGCTCAGCACCGACAACGTTGTTTTCCAGCCTCCCAGCGCCTGTAACTACCCCGCGGTGGGGAGTTACAAAACTCGTTCCCTTTCTTCGCATCGGATTTACCTTTTTTCCAACAAAAAAAGCCTTTTTCTCCCCCTTTTTCATCCCCGGCATCGGAACAGGATGATCACTGGGAGAACCAGAACCGAGCGGAAAGGCAGAATTTCAATTAATTTTCCACTTTCTCGCCAAAAATTTGAGGTAAAAAGTGGGGGGAAATGTTTCAAACCCAAACCCAACGCTGCGTTTTTGCCCGCCGCCAAGCCAGGAGCGCCGGCATTCTTCACCGAAGCCGGTGAAACGGTGGGACAGCCCCTCAGGCGCTTGTAAATTAATTGATTTTGGACTAAAACTCAGAGTCCCATAATGAGGAAGCACAACCCAAGCGATGTCACCCAGGAGGTGAATCCAGGACACCAGTACCCCGGCAGAGGAAGATTTCGGTCTCGCCGCACACTGAGATTCCCCTTTTCCGTGGGTAAATCCAGATGGATTAAATCATCTTCGTTTACCTAATGAGCAGGAAGAGACAGGGAGCCCGTGTCCCCCCCGCCCCGTACCAGCTAACGAGTGACGCCACGTCACCCATTTGCAACCCAAAATCCACCCTGCGCGCGCATCGCTGCTAACCCAGGTGTGAAAATACACCTGTAAAAAATTGCTACAGCTTCCTGCCGCCTCCAGCTTATCGTTAATCAATTAATTAGTGAGCTTTATGGAGTCCCACCACATCGGGGTGCTCCAGGACGAGCTGGGGTGCGGCACAGGGTCGACACCCTGTGAAACGGGGTCAGGCGCAGGGACAAGCGTTTTGGGTGGGTTTTGACCAAAATTCAAAGTGTATTTTAACACCGATTCGTATCTGCGAAGAAATTGAGTTGTAGGTGGAAGAAAAGTCGAAGAAATAAATCTCCGTCCTGACGATTCAGATTTTAACGACTTGAGCGGCTACACACGGACTCTTCCGCTCGCCCTCGGTGCCTTCCCGCTGTATGTACAGGCGGCCATAGGTACCCCCGACCTGGCCCTTCGTCAGCCGGCCGGGATTGATACAAACGCAGCCCAGCACATCCTGTGGGAATACGAGAGCGATGGTGGCAGATCCGGACACTGACGGCAACAACCGCCCACAGCTACAGTCGATCCGGATGCCAACAGCCGCCTGGCTACAGCCGATGCGGACGCTGACAGTCGTGATCTACCGGCTACAGTCGGTGCCGCACACAAGACTGCGCGTTATTTGCGCTGTAAACTGGATTTTGCCCAAATGTGTCAAAACACAGTGGGGTTTTGGGGGTATTTCAACAGGCGCACACACCAACTGACCTTAACGAAGTACCGCAGCTCCGAGGGGGTTACGAGGATGTCCGGTGTGACGGGTAACGAGCCGTAGCTGTAGAAGCTCTCGTAGTCAACATTCAGCTCCTCTGAGGGGGGGTACAGCGGGTAGTAACTACCAGCGGAGAGCGGGGAAAAGAGGTTAGGGCAGCCAGGAACAGCCGCCTTCGCCTGTAGCAAGGCTCGGACACAACTGGCAAATGATTTTGGGGTAGAAAGTGTTATTTTTGGGTGTCCCCAGGTATCTGAGGGCAGCCGTCAGCTGCCTGACGCACACCAGGACTTACAGCACTAAAACCCTCCGAATCTTGTTTTTAAAGGGTTATCAAACCCAAAAAGGACATTTTTTAGGTTAAAAAAATGATTTTGAAGACGACAGCAAGAACGGTACGGGATTTCCCTCGTTTGGCCACAAAAAAAGCTGGTTTTGGGTTCAACTGGGTGTTTTTACTAAGCCCTCACCTCCTCTGCATCAGGACGTGCTTAAGGATTCGCGTGAACCTGTCCGAGATCCCGGATAAGCTGTAAAACGGTGGGGGGGAAGAAAAAAAAAAAAGGGAAAATAACCCCAAAACAAACAACAAACATCGCAGGCTGTGCTGATTAATTAAGAACGCAGACTAATTAA